TGGAACCAAAAATGGTTCTTCTATGGCATCGCTTGAAGAACCTTTTGAAGCACCTTTATTTTTAAGAGTGTAAAACGCCTCGTTCAAACACGCCCCCACATGTCTACGTCACTGTGTGGGAAGATTTGCATAACACCGGCCAAATGTTCATGCAAAGAAAGAAGGCGTAACTTTGATTCTCGCTGTAGTATTGTTGCTGCCGCCGCCATGTTGTGGAGCTGCTGTGTGTTTCGTTGTGAAAGCGAAATTACTTTGTTTGGCCTTCCAAAAGAGGACACAACTAGAAATCAGTTCCAGAACAGTTCAACCCAAATATTCAGATGTGTGCAGCGCATTTTATGGAGGACTGTTTCCTGATCCTGGGAGAGTAGACTACAATGCCGGCTGAGTACTTACAGTCAGTACTCACAGACTGTAAGTACGTTTTCATATTTAAAGGATTTGCCACTGACGATTCAAACGTGAGTTTTGAGCAGTGTAGAGAAGCGCTTGTTGTTTGTCATTTCTCCGATCACAAATGCAGACACGGTTTTATGTTTACGCGGCACGATGCAACGCGTAAAAAGACAGTATAAGTCATTATAATCCGTAATTATGTCCCCACTGGATGCAACAAATGCCTAATTTATAATGGGTTTTATTGGTTTTGTCTCCTAACGCCGGGACATGGCATCACAGTATGGTAAGGGGCGTAACATTTCCGTCACACGCTTGAGGTATTCGGCCAATCACAACGCACTGGATAGCTGGCCAATCAGAGCACACCTCGCTTTTCAGACCGATGAGCTTTGTAAAAATTGATGCGTTTCAAAAAGGCGGGGCATAGAGGAGCAACAATAATGTACAGTATGTGGAAAATAATGTGTTTTTTTAACCTTAAACCGCATAAACGCATTTCATTACACCAAATACACAAAATAATGTTCTTTTTAGCAGCATCATATGACCCCTTTAAGTGAAGTTAGTGCAGATTCCTCTTGCTTTGATATGTTGTTACCATTTTTAAGTGTGACGAAAATGTCTTATTTAGGGGCCGCTGTAAAGCAAGAAGAAATAGTGATTTTACATTTCACTGCATGTTTCCACTTTCAGGTTCTTTTTGAAGGAGAGGCTTTTGTCTGCCTTCCTTCCCTTTCCTTAATCCTCTAATAAGGTTTCTTTTCTTCAACTTCACATAACCTTTCCTTCATGTGAACTTTTCCATCCAGAGATACTTATCATGCTTTAACTGCCAGTAACCCCCGGTTTCCTTTTGGCTTCAAAACAGAGGAGAGGGCAAATGCACAAGTCACACATCTGAACCGAGGTCAGCGTTTAAACTGCACAAACGGCCGTTTGTCTGTCTCACATCCTCTGATATCCTGGACTGTGCCGGTGGATGGGGAGGTGGCCCAGAAAGCTACTTACAATTTAACTATAGCCACTAATCAAAGGAAATGGTTTGGTCTTCCAGGAAGACAAAGTACTCGG